GCACACTTTATAGTTTGAAAATCACATTTTTCAAATGCCTTTTTGTTTTAAATACACTTGTGAACAGTAACACGCTAAACCATGCTCTGATGCCAGCTATAACAGAACCGACCAATTATACGAAATTAAGTAAGAACATCATCCGCCAGAGCAGACGATTTAGCAAACTTAAGCTCGTATAACCCGGTAGTCCGTGAAATCACGAAGGATTTCAAATCAACTTACATCCCAGCCAAGATTGTAATAAGTTTAGCGGTCACCATCACATATTACATAAAAGTTCACATCTCAGATACATCAGAGTTTAAACATAGTTATTACAAAACGAGTTCAAATAAAAGTAGCGGAAGCCATTTGTTTAAAACCACACACACTCACACGGAGTTCAAATACAATGCCAGCTAATGATCATCTCCAACAAAACCATCAGACGAGACGTAAGGAATGACCATGCCCATGGTCCTAAGCATCACCCATCGCAGGATAAAGGCAGTTGATACAGTAGCCGTAATACATCTGCCCATCTGCAACAAGTGGGAATAAAACCCTGAGTATGAGAAGGTACTCAGCTAGACTTACCCGACATAACCAAAAATAAAGTGACACCAAGGATTATGAAGGGCTTTATAGTAGGGTAGCTGACTCATTTGCAAAAAAAGCATTTTTAGCATTTCAAGAACCTTTCAAAAGCATTATTGTCAAGTTAATTATTTATAACCTGTCGACTAGATTTGCACCTACACTAGAGCAAACATGATTAAGCAAATAATGATAACCAATGATCATTAACAACTTCCATATTGTCATATTCATTATAACTATCCAAGTGTTCCATCAACATTACTACGATGAAGTCACTCAAGTCAAGTACTCACTATCCAGGAGCGATGGCGATTCGAATCGATTCCTAACCAACTGGTGATTTTTTCCTTACACAAACCTCACTCACCCGCTAAAGTGAGGTATTGATCACCGAGTCAACTATCCAGGAGTCTCGAGTTTGCCAGGAACCACATGTACCCAGGGGCCGACCGACTGCACTTTGGTCTTATCATCTCGCCCCCGTGTCCTACCACACCTGCTCCGGCACAGTGCGCTGCGGGCAATCTACTCGGCCCAAATAATCTCCCAGCTTCGCGGTCGGAAGGTACTTTATCCGGGCAGCTAAATGTAAGGCATGCGTTCAACATGACTCGAGGCCCAACAACGGTCGGTCCTTAATCGACACAGACGGAAAGCACTACAGTTCAAAACTCTGTAAGTCTCCGTCCGGTCTCAACTTCATTTAACACTTAGTTATACCATGACTTCATAGTCATCCAAGCAGATCCAGGTAACCACCTATAGCTCGTAGGTGACAGGAAATCACCCGACTTCTATCGGTCTAAGCCAGCTAAGCATTGACTCGACTGTGGATACCAGGGTAATAAGGACATAGTATAACAAAGGTAGACAAGGTATAATGCAGCAACGGGTGCAAACAACTCCTGAACGTAATGCATCAATTAAAGTAAAGCATTTAATTAATAATTGCAAACCAGGAGAAATGCTTCGGGGCTTGCCTCTCTCGAAGGAGCTCGGGCGGTGATCGGGGCACTCCGGAAGTTCCTCAACGTCCTCCTCATCGGCTTCGGGCACTTCCTACGGCTGCACCTTGAGCTGCTCCATGGGTATTACGACTGGGTTCTCGGTTTGCGATCCTGTATGATGCAATGTGCGTAAGTGCTTATGCAAAAGTGCATTGGATGAAATGAATACAATGGATATGCTTGAATGCAAGGTAGTCAACATCATCCAAGAACATAAATTCTAAGCACATGTCATCTACTGCATTCTCTTCTACTACTAATATGCAAAGGCAACACATCTTATTAAAATGCTTCAAAGATACACCAAAGCTTCACTAATTTCTTAATCACACATAAAGCAATACTTGATTAAACCCTAATTAATAAGAGGTTTGAATAGTAACATCTATTTTTATTGCTTAGAAAAATTTTAGAAAATTACCATAGCACAGTACTACCCTAAGTAGTCTACCATCAGATTTTCATGGTATTTGAATGAGTGGATTAGCCTACACAAAAATAACAAGCTATGGCATGATTATGAACATGAAAATACTTTGTACTATGAAAAATGTCAAACAACAGAGGAAATATTTTTCCTATGTTCTACACAGCAAATAATCACTGTATAAAAATCATCACATGCATGTTTTATACAAATTTTGCTCTCTAGCAAAATTAACAAAAATCAGCCATCAAAGGCACTTGAACTACACATCATAAGTTTTCTACGGTACATGCATGACACATATTTTTCCTAGGAAGTACATTACATAAGAAGATTAACAAACTTGGAAATCATATTTTTCTGAAGCCTATAGTTTTTTCTACACATTTTTCAAGTTATCAGCAATATCAAGGATTAAATAAAGCTCTAGAGAAAAGTATCTTAAAAATGACATGCAATATTTTTCTCATGTAGATCTGGTGACAAGGAACCTAGAAAAAATTGTTTCAACAGATTTGGAGCAAATTTGAGTATACAAACATTTTCCAAATCATTTCTCTTTCCAAATAATAAAAGAAAATTGAAAACAAAATCTTCCTACTCCTCTTGGGCGGCCGTGGGAACCATCTGGCCCACGGCCACACTCTGCCCTTCCAGACCTAGCGAAGAAGAGAGGCGGCTGGCTCGGGGCTTCGCCCACGGCCACTTGGCCCGGCTCGGCCGAGGCGAAGGGGCCATGCTTGGCGCCGAGACACCACTTGGCCTTGGCTCTGCTCAAGAGCGGGGGCGGTCATTCTTGGCCGGGTCGGGTCAGGCAAGCGGCGAAGCGCACGGGGTTCGCAAGGAGGTGGCGAATGTGAGCAGGCAACTAGGAAGGGTGGAGGAGGGGAAGAAGGATGCATTCCACGGCGGCCAAGCACGGCGGCGCCATGGCTGACGGCGGCGAAGCGCGAAGAAGGCTCTACCTTGGCTCAAAGGCGTCACAACCACAAGCACCGTGTGTCGTAGAGTGAGGCGGACCTGGGTACGCTTGATTGCTGGCCATGGTGGAGCACCGGCGGTGAATTGGACCGGTGGGGCTGCGGTGGCGCTCGCTGGCGAGAGAAGCAGAGCCAGCGGCGGGTGAGCAATGAGGCAACATGGGAGAATGGATTGGCGAAAGTGCGGTGGCTTCGGCAGATGAAGGGGCGTGGGAGCGGATGAGCCGTGTGGCTGCTGCTTGAAGCGTCGACGGCGCATAGCCGCCATCACGTGATCGGTCGCGCGTCAAGCGTGGTCGGACGCGACGCTGGCAGTAAATGGGCATGGCAGCCATTGGGAGCCGGACGCTGGGCTGGCTAGGCTGAACGCGGGGAAGCAGCGGGCGGGAGCTTGCTGCAGGGCGGGCCGACTTTGGCCGTGGGCCAAGAAGGGAGGCGGCGACCTGCGAAAAGAGAAATCATTTTCTCAATTTCCATTTTAAGAAATTTTTAAATACCAGTTTTCAAATATCATTTTGAGCAAGAAAATGACATCTTTGAAAATGTCCCAAAATGAAAGTTGCTTAGAATTTAATTCTCTACAACTTTGCTTTTATGACCAAAGTCCAATTCTTGATAGATTTTGAATTATAAAATTAAAGTCAATTTTAACTCAAAACCCTAATTTTTGGAGAATTATTTTTAAAGCAAAATTTGGCAATAATTTGAATACAAACTTTGCTCCAAAAATTGCGCTAAATAATTCTAGATGATTTACAATCATAGCCAAACATGTTTTACTAACCTAGCAAGCATAATCATGGCAAAACAACTCTAAACAAGTGTATGCAACATTCATGTTTCATGAGCATGTTTCGTATGTTTCGAAGCAGGGTTTCAGTTATTATTTACATGATTAGGCATGTATGATTAGGATGTTTGATGATGCATGATATGCATGATTTGTAGTGCCTAAATACTGGTCATAACACCGGGGTGTTACAGAATACTCCTAGTGAAGGCTACATTGACAACCATACGCTTGTGGTTTATCTGTTTGCCACTTTTGGTGTCAACAATGATTTTTTAGTGTAGAACAAGAAAGCCCTTGGTTTAAGTTTCTAGAGACCTAATTCACGCTCCCCCTCTTGGATCTCTTGCATTAGGATGCGCACAGTCCTTACACCTTGATACACCTAAGTGCCAACTCAACTCAATTTCATGATTGAGATGTATATGGTAATATCATTGCCACACAACATAGAAACAATAATATGGGTCGATAATACCCCATATGCCATCACCTTAAACTAATTTTCATTGATCTTTCAAATCACATGTAGTTTCTAGGATTATAGTGTCATTAATCTTCAAAACATAATTTGGGTCCTAGATGCTTTCATTCTCCCCATATTTAGTTATTGATGATAACAACACAACTTAGAGTACATAAAATTGAGATTTGAAGCAAACCTTGTTAGACATGCATGAACTTTCATGTGAGCATTCAAATCTCGGGCTTGTGCTTTCATGTGAACCTTTTATCCTGTAAAGTACCATGCGTTTAGTGCTTCATTTGTCAAAGCTTGCTTGCTTGAACTTCAAATCTCACAAGATCCAAACCGCCACATCAGTATGTCATGCATAGTGCCTTCTACTTAAGATAGATAGATGGATAGATAGATACGTAATGGAGATATACTAAAAATATAAGCAAATTAAAGCTGGAAAAGATAGTATACCAAAGCAAAGTGTGGAAGCAATCAATTCTTCAAAGTAACACATGGTGCATGCATGCCCCTCTTTTGTGATACAATATATAATCAAATATACGTTTCTCTTCACACGATGAATGGCAAAAATCACATGCCCCACGACCACCACCGCATATTCCATTGTATCTTGCCAGATCAATCTTGTAGCCAGGCTGTCACATTGAGAGCCAACATGTGTAATGGTTTGGTCATTTCGGACATAAATATCAGGCCATCACCACCCACAAACACAAATAAGCCAGTTATAGGGATGGGTCAAGAGAAATTTCAAGATAATAAGATGAAGAACTATGGTGAGTGCAAGTTAAAGAGGGCAAGCAAGATAGATGAGGGAGAGGACGACTTTGAAGCTGATTTCCAAGCATTCTCTAAGAAGTACGATGAGGAGGATGAGAGCCACTATAAGTTTATGGCTTTGTTACCAGCCAAGAATGGTCTTACTAGTGTCTCAACAACAACAAAAGGGAAAGTCGGACTCGATTTTCCCATCAAAGGTATGATTTGCTAACAAAGATGTGTATTTGTATGTTCATCACTGGCATATGTAGTTATATATGTGATCTATGTGAATTTTCTAACACCATTTATTTTTAATGTAAAGTTGATGGATTATCTTTTGTTAATAAATTTTAGTATCATTTTACAGTTTCTCATGATCATAATTTAATTCGGATTGGTTTAGTTCATGGGCATATACTACTTGCGCTCACGTTTTTCTCATATCTTTGCCTGATGTTTTTCTTGTAAAAATTCAGTGGGTGGGTTGGGGTGGGAGGTATCTCAAAAAGGATATTATAATAATACCACTAATTAGATCAATATTTGGATACATATTTAATATTTTCTTAGAATATCCCAAGCAAGGTGGTTTATTTGTTTTGTATGTTATATTTCACATGTACTAGAATCATTCTGGTTGTCAGTTGCTTCTTGACAGTATGAATATCTCATAAGGTAAATTTCATGATGTTCTAGTTTAGATTCCTTTTTTGCAAAGAACTACCGATAGGATTGTCTATCTAGTCATTAGCATTTATAATCAATAATAGCTATTCCTCTATATAGATGATGTGATTAGTCGAGAACCAACCACTACCAATGAAGGTACCATTGTAAGGCCAAAGCGCAAGCGCAAGACCCCATATAGAGGCATCCGCCAACGCCCTTGGGGCAAATGGGCTGCTGAAATCCGTGATCCTGCAAAGGGTGTCCGTGTTTGGTTAGGCACGTATAGAACACCAGAAGATGCGGCTAGGGCATATGATGCTGAGGCCCGCAAGATTAGAGGCAATAAGGCAAAGGTGAATTTCCCTGATGAAGGACCACCAAACATGGTGAGCAATACACCAAAACTAACTGTTACTGCAATGACCACGATGGCTATTCCAGCAGAGAAAATGAATACCAATGAATTGGTGCGCCAGGCAAACTACTCTAATGAGGCTATGTTGAACTCTAGTGGCAACAATGGTAGCTTAATTTCTGCTCAGGATTTTGGCTTACACTGTATGAAAAAGCCTCGTGTTCCTTATGACATCCCTAGGATGGGTGAGTGTTCAAATCAAAACAGAATCACGTATGGTTTAGGTAATGGATTGGGCAATGAGGCTAGTAGGAACCTGAATGGATGCTCTTTCTTACCACAAGTTGGCATGCCAATGTCCATTCAACCTACTTTTGATGGTCCATCAAGAATGATAGAAAGAAATGATGGTGTGATTGCTCCTACTCTGACTAATGCCACACCCATCACTCCATTGGGCGTGGCTGGTGTTGATGTTGCAAAAAAGATGAATAAGCATCCTATTCTCCAAGAGATGGAAAATGAAGCTATTCCTTCTATTTTACAAGGTGATGTTAGTGAGGACGTGGCGGCTGAGATTAGAATGTGGGAGTTTTATGACCACCTGTTAGATAATAAGCAAAATTGATGGATCATGCCATGTTGGTCCATATGGCTTCTGTCTTGTGGATACAACAAGTGGTAAGGCACCTATTGATTCTCAATATTGGTGATAATTCAATTAATTTTTGTTACTTTCATCTTTTGCTCACACATCTATACTTCTTTTTTTTGAAAATTTTTTAGGTTCGAAGCATGCATGATGGGGATGTAGTCGCAAAAGGCTTATTTGTGTTATGAAATAATGTTTTCTATGCCTTCTGTTGTGTATCAGTTTGGACTATTTATTTATGCTTTGCTGTAAGCTCCGGCCAGTATTGGTAGTGGAACTTGATTGGTCCTGCGTGTATCATTGTAATGTAATGATAATTTTCAAGCTTTACTAAGACATAATTAATCGTAACATTTGAATATGTGGGTATCAGTTTTTTATCGTGTTGCGACCCAGAGTATGTGTTATTTTAGTGATGCCATGTTTGTTCTTTTGTCCATATTTCCATTGATGTCTTTATTTTAGTGTGCATATGTTATATGTTAAGGGCTTGTTTGTAATGCGAAAAAATCATGTTTCCCACGTTTTTTTTTGCGAATTCAACTGATTCCTATGATATTCCTATAAAATTCCTTCAAAATTCTATGTTCCAACATGTCCTAAATGCTTTTGTAATGTCAATATTGTTTATAGTTACAAGGACACTTAGAACTTGTGGTATGTAGAGAAGCATTTGTTTCAATCAAATTTATTTATGTAAAGCTTGTGGGTTAGTTGTTCCTCTGATCCGGTGCCATAGTTGATGGCTGGGCCATGTAGACGAGGAAAATAGGGATGTGAGATTGGGATTTAGCGCTGCGAGGATGGCCGCTTGGGCCCCTGTGGTCGATAGACCAGCTGCCAGCCCAAAACTCAATCATGTAACGCAGGTCGAATCCTACTAGATATGGGAAGGAACAACCATGACCTCATACATTCTCGTAAAAGGTACTATATACGTTGTTGAAACATCATCACAGTCTGAGTTTCTTATTTGAATAATAAACCTAGACATCTGTCCTCCTTCAACTATCCAAACTAGATATTTTATCTCAATAACCCGATTTCAATAGTTGTGGAGCCATAAACTTTTAGAAGCCCATGAAATTCTTATTATATAGAAATATTTATCCAACAAAATATAGTGTTTCTCAATGATACAAACAAAAATCATTTTGCATCGCCTGGATTCCACAATATATGGTCTTGTTCTTGTTGGAACAAGCATTGTTTGTATGACATGAAAACAGGTAAAAATTATCTATATCTATACCTATATTAAAGAACAGAAATTTCTCTTCCTTGATCCGTCAGCCTTTCACTCCCAAGCTCTCTTCTTTCACCACACACTCCCCACTCTTCTCGTTCTTAAGGTCGTCTTTCACTATCTCCCCCTCTTCTGTTCCTTGGTCCAATCGTTTGGAGCTGCAAAACCACTCGAGCATGTGGATCGTCTATACCTTTCTCTACCTCACAATAGCTACACACAATAGTCATATATTTATATGGGATTAATCTTTTCTTACACAGCATTTAAGGATTTGTTATGTGGTTTGTTCTAAACATGGGCTGATTTTCGTATCTTGTAAAAGGACCTGGGCGTCCCCACTTTGCTTCGTGAGCTTAGTGCGTGTTTGGTGGCCGAGACATCGTCGTGCATGCATCCACCAACCCATATAAACCGTGAAGGTAGTGCGTTAGGTTGCGCTCTCCGCTGGCTTGCATTCACCGGTGTAGAATACGCTTGCATGCAGCATAGCAGGATGCAGTCAAATTGGTCGTATGTGCCCAGGCCAGGCTAGGCGGATGCAGGAACTGCGTGCAGGTCCACACGCGAGTCTCACATGTCTTGTCTTTTGCATCCGCTCCAACCAAATATCATCTCAATTTGTATGCATCTCCTCTTGGAATCTCACCTAATACCATCCTCTCTTTTTTTTAAATATGGTTCCACTCAATCTACACCCCTTCATCCGGATATACGATACAACCTCCCTCGTACAACCAGACACACCCTTAGCCGAGTTACCATTCTATTTATTTTCCGTCCGTGTATTTTTTTCCGTTTTTTTCTTGCAGCTGCTCCGGGCATTATGTCTGCCCTCTTTGTTTTTACTATTTCTTTTTCTTTTTTCCACAGTTTTTTTATGTTTGTTTTCCTTTTTTCATAGTTTTTGTCGGACATTTTTTTCTCTTTTCCATATTTTTTGTTGGTTTTCCCTTCTTTCTGCCGGTTTTTTCTCAGTCTCTTCTTATTATTTTTGTTTTCACTTTTTTCCCTCCGCGTCCATTCACAGTAGAAGGTATTGAGCTCATGACCATAATTTTTTAAATATTAGATACAAGAATTTCACCACCAAATAACCAAACTATTGTTGTGTTTGTGAGTTTAGTGCATAAATCATCTTAGTTGAACATTAGCCGATGGTTCAACATGTTTAATCTATATCTATATCTCTTTTCTATATCTATCTCTATATCTATATCTATATCTATATCTATATTAAAGAGAGAAGGGATTCTTTCAACCGTATTTTTAACTTACCACGATACTCTTACATTCCTCCCTATCCCTTTTGTGGCTCGGAACTTTTGATCCATGCTCATATAAGTAAGAATTGTGCACTTTGCTTGTTTAGCGATGGTACGAATTATAATTTCACAATATTACAGAAATGGTCATCCCCTATGGTTGTGAATTTCACTACTGGTTTATTACAACCGACGGTGATGTAATTATTAGCACCGCCGATTTGTGTCACTGATCGACGGTGATGATGGGCTGTAGTGAAAACGGTTTTTCACCATCAGCTCGTCGGATGATCCGACCCTGATAACCATGTTGTAGCATAGTAACATTCATAACTTTTTTTGAAACAAAGTTTTGTAGTTGATGACTTTTTCATTTGAAATCATCTATGGTCCTAAAATTCTGTTTGTAGTTCTCGTAATTTTAAATCCATTTTTTGAATTGTAAAATGACCTCAGATGGAAAAAATGACCAGAAGCAAAGTTGTAGATTTCTATGAGACCTACAACTTTTTAGTTGAAAGCTTTTTCATTAGAAATCATTTGTGGTCTTCCTTGTATTTGAAGTTATAACATTTTGAAATCCAAAATGTTCAAATGACCTCGGATGAAAAATTGATCAAAACCAAAGTTGTAGATCTCTCTGAGAACTATAACTTTGTAGTTGATGATGTTTTCATTGAAATCATTGAGGTCATAAAAGTATGGCTCAAAGTTCCACAATTTAAAATTTAAATTTGTCAAATGATTATGGATGGCAAAACGATCAAAACCAAAGTTGTAGATCTCAATGAGAATTACAACTTTGTAATTGATGACTTTTTAATTTGAATTCATTTAGGGTCCTAAATACTCATTTCAAAATCATGAAAAGTGAATAATAGGAGGATGAATATGCCATATAGGCATAATTAACTTTGGGTGAGGTAGTTAGAGGGCGCCACTGTGAACAGTAGGGTGAGGGATGGACTGGTCCAGCTAGTGCCGGCGACTGGCCTGTTGTTAAGTGTGCTGTCATGGTGGGCTGAAGCCTTGAAAGGGATTATGAGCTGGGGTTAGCCTGTGAGCGAGTGTGGCTTTGCATCTGTACTTCATCGTTGTCTTCGGACACTTCCATATATCAGTTCGGTGTGAACTAAAAACCAACGCCAACACCAAGGCCAATGCCAATGCCAATGTCTTCGGACACTTGAGTGCTCATATTTTCCTGAATTTAATCTAGGATTGAACAACATTGTTGTTTAAGTGGTAGGCGATGTTTTCATCGACAGCGAGACAGTGACTTCATCAATCTTAAGATATATTTGTCTAGTCTTAGTCTTTCAGAGGTGCTCATAGGGATAGAAGTATGTACATGTGTGTTTATAGGAGTGAGTGCGTATGTATGAGTGTTTATGTCTTTCTATGATTTAGAAAAATATTACCACACCTGAGTGCTCGCATTTTCCTAAATTTAATATAGGATTGAACAACATTGTTGTTTAAGTGGTAGGCGATGTTTTCATCGACAGCGAGACAGTGACTTCATCAATCTTAAGATATATCGGTCTAGCCTTAGTCTTTCGGAGGTGCTCATAGGGATAGAAGTATGTATATGTGTGTTTATAGGAGTGAGTGTGTATACAAGTATGAGTGTTTGTCTTTCTATGATTCAGAAAAATATTACCACACCATATGTATAGATCGCCTAAGGTGTTGCGGACGATTTGCTGGCCAAGGGCGGTAATGGAGGGCATGGGCACAGCGGGTTAAGGTTGCTGTTTCAACGAAAAAGTAGAATATGCTTAAGTAAGGGTAGCCCACCCCTTGTTAGTTGGTCAGTCACATTTTTAAATAAAAGAAAAGAAATGTTTGGCTTTATGCTCTAACAAGAGGAATCAGACCAATCTTATTACATCTCAAACATAGAACAATCGAAAGGAATTTATGGCAACTATAACTCAAAACTTGATTCAAGAAATAAAAAGCCATCCAAATGATGTAACATTATAGTTCGCTTGAACTAATCAGCCCGGTTTATTAGTCATGCTATAGTGTTTTCCTCTCGTAACATAATATCATCAGTCGGCTTACAAGCCGCAGAAACCATAGATTGATTGCTGCACCTCACACCATAGTAATTGGACCCAGAACTGGTGCTAGTGTGTCCCATGAAAAGATGCTGCAAGAGAGATTTTGGAAACATCTAGGAGTGAATTAATTCCCAATCACATACTCAGTATTTGTTATTTTATATACTCAGTTCTAAATTATAAGACGTTTTAGCTTTTTTAAATATAAAATTTTTGCTATTCACTTACATATATATTATGTGTAGATATGTAGTAAAAGGAATATATCTAGAAATATCAAAACGGCTGATAATTTAAAAAAGAAAGAATTTATTGCTCTCTCCTATCACCAGAGCTCCATGAGGCAGGAGTCAGGACACGAGAAAATTGCTTTAAGGAATCTGCACAGTGGCAGCT